CCCCAAAACCCCAAAACCCCAAAACCCCAAAACCCCGCTCATCCCGAACCAGATTGAATTCAGGCCTCTAGGGAAGTGAACAGTCGGGATTCAATACAGCTTCCAGACTCAATAAAGCAGTCATAACTTCCCATTCCTGAATTATAAACTGAACTGGAAATGAGGCAGAAGTGAGTGAAAGAATATGACTCAAAATGATTCATAACTCAATTTGTGAAATGCTTACAAGCTTAGTATATTACAGTCTTGCTGTTGGGTCCTTCAAGGCTAGAAGTAGGGAAATATCTATGCCTTCCTGTTTAAATCAGAGGGGAAGAAGTTGAACTTTCCCTTACCACAGCTGTCTTGGTTCGGTAAACCCATATTAGGATCTTCGAATAAGCGCTCTACCTCGTATTCTTGGTTATACATGTTGGTGGGAATCCCTACAATCGAGGATAACCTCCTGTTCCTCTTCTTCTTGCTTACGTGCGGAGGATTCATTTTATTTGGAAAAAGGTTGTAATATGAGTTTTCAGGCGATTTTATGGGAGAGTTTGCCAATATTACTCCTGCTTTATTGGAATTTTGAGCAATCGGACTCTGAATCTTTGCTAAAACTAATAAATTTATAAAGGATTTGGCAATATTTTTGATCAAATGGTTTCACATTTTATGATTTTAGCTAATTTTAGGAAAATTATAACTAAATTTATAGCAAATTACCTTGGTTTGGCTTTAAAATCACATTTTTCTTTGGTGTAGATTGGGTAGGATAAGAACTTATCTTCATTTCGTATTTTTCCTTGGGCTGATGATTCCTTACTGGAAAAGAAAATTCGTGATTAATATTTTCTTGGGTCTTCACACCACCTTGGGGTTCTATATTAATAGATTCCGGTGAACCTTCCAAGACGACCGCTTTTTCAACAACGTTTTCATTATTAGGCAACTTATCTGGCTTGTCAATATTCTTGTATACCTTCAAATCCTGGCTGACAGCAGTTGCATCCGAATGAAGCTTATCCTGCCTCCTTTTAGACCGAGTCAGCTTAGAATTAGTTTTTCTTGAGTTGGTATCCACGGTGTTGATACTTTCATTTTTCTCTATATCGGAGTTCTTCTTAGCCTTGGACTCTGAAGTTTCAACATTTACAGACTCCTCAATCACAGCCTTACGCTTTAAATTTTGCTTCTTTGCCTTCTTCACCTTTGCTGGTTTACTCTCTTGCTTATGATTTTTAGGATTATTTTTAGGTTTATCAGAGACTCCAAATTGCAACTTCTCCACCTCTTTTTGGAACTCTTTGTATTCTTCCTTATACCTGACCTTATCAAGTTCTGCTAGTTGCTCATACCGTTTAGATTTGGACCCAATTTTCTTCCACTCTTTGCCGACCTCTTTCATAATCTGGAGGACAGGCATGTTTGGATTTGATTCAGAAATTTTCCTTCTTCTCTCTTTGACAAAAATCATATAAGCTGAGAGTCACTTTTTGGGCTTTTTGGCCTGGACAGCCTGTAACTGCTCCAGAGATTGGCCGTCCTTAGTGAGGTTTTTGATTTCCTCATTGTACCTTTCTTTGTCCTTATTTAGCTACATCTTCATATACTTTCTTCTCTTCAGGAGAGAGACTGCTCCAAATTTTTCCAAGTTGCTTCATCATATCAGGAGATTTGGAGTTAAAATCATCTCAGTCCATTAATTCACGTCTTTTCTGTTTCACAAAGATCGCATAAGCTGTGAGGGACTTTTTAGGGATAGAAAGGATGCCTCCCTTGCTTTGTAGTTTCTTTTTCCTCCTCTTGAGCAAGGATTGGTCATATTCCTCACTTTCTCCTAATTTTTCAACCTTTCTGTGTCTCTTAGACCTTCTCTCCCGTTTAGTCTCAATACTGTTGTATGAATTTGATGGGATGGAGTCATATTCTCCCATACTTTGCTTCTCAGAGTTCACGATAGCACTTTCCATTGTGATCTTTCAATCAAATTATTTTATAATCTCTTCTTTCAATGATTTGCAACGTGAAGGGGTTTTGGGGTTTTGGGGTTTTGGGGTTTTTGGGGTTTTGGGGTTTTGGGGTTTTGGGG